GTTTCAGGACCCCACCTTGATGTTTCAGGACCCCACTTTGGGTCCCGACCCCAACTTTGGGAACCACTGCTCTACAACATGTCTGCGCGCAATGCAAGTTATATTTGTTGTTGCGTAAAATTTATATTTTTGTTACATTGTTGCTTCTTCATCATTTTGCACTAGTGACTTTTTAAAAAAGTTGTGTGAAGTAGAAGGTAATAGTGAAGCCATTTATTATTTCTATACTGTTACACTTTTTATATTGCTGTTGTTATACAAAACATTTTATGTGTCTGAAATARTAATTGACTTAACTAAAGGGAAAATCACAAATTATTCAATGAACGTGATAAGTATCATATGAGAATGGTTGATACCAGCCCTCCACCAGCCCCATATTTCCTTATTGCTGCCTTTGGTTTGTTTATTAGTAGCTCATCTTTTCATCTAAATCGGTCCGGTAGCTGAGAGAAAAGTAGAAAAGCCTCAGTTTTTTGTCCTTTGGTTGAACGCATGCCAGTGTGTCGTCAAAGTTGACTGCGATCGGCCCGCAGGTTGCGTAGCAGAGTGTGTTGGTAGGCAGGTGGCTCTAACTCTGGTCTTCCACAGACTGGAGGTCAGACGGACAGCGCTAAGGACAACCCGCTGAAGAGACAACAGGCAAGTGAGACCGACAGAGTGCCRGCCAGCATGCGCCTTTATGGCTCCCCCACCCCACTCCTCCCCCATTTAACCTGTGACCACCCGAGCCTCCGACCCCCTGCAGAAGCTGACAGCCGATTAACAAAAACAGAAGCTCAAAAATAATAATAATATTAACGGCTTGTGGTCAACCTAACCCGCAGAAATGCATGAATGTTGAGTTTTTTCTTTTTAGACGTGATGTGATGACGACTACAGAAACTGCAGCTCTGGTGAAATCTTTCTGTCGCGTCGACCCCAATCAGTTTATTTTTCACCGTTTTACAGCTTTTTTACCTTTAACCTCTGTCTGTCTCAACCTGACGTACTAAACATTCAAGTAGAAATCTCTTTGATCTCTGCTTTGTTTTAGTAATGTTTTCATAAAATAAAACTATTTTAAAAATCTACTTAAAACACTTTACCTCTTTAAAATGATCCTTTTGTACTCAGTCCTCTTACTGACTTGCTGCCAATTAACCTAATTAGTTACAAATATTAAAATTTGATATGTTTGTTATGGTGCATTGTAAAAAAAACTTATGTGCATGTTAAACAACATCCAAACTTTGTAAAAAAAAAAAGAGGGGTTTCTGTCACTTTAGCATTGGAATAACTTAGAAATATTTGTTCGTCTTTTGTTTTTATCCAATTTTTGTTAATGAAAATTAATTAAAGTGTATTAAAAGCATTTGTAAGGATTATAAGAGGCAGAGAATAGTTTTGCACTTGCTGCATGTTTTGCAGCAGCTTCATGCGTCGTGGCAGAGGTGTCAGTTTCACCTCTAATGTTTACAAAAAAGACATTTTTTCAAAGTGGTACAGCTGTTTGTCTAATCAGTGTTTGTCATCAGGGTTCTTTTTTAGATGCTTCGATGAAACTAGACAATAATTAACTTTTGTTTTGCCTTACACTGCTTGTCACATCTGCCTGCAGACCAATGACAAGGAAGATAACCGCATGAAGAACGTTCCTGTCCCAGTGTACTGTCGCCCCCTGGTGGAGAAAGACCCCAACAGGAAGGTAAGATGTCTGCTAAGAAATAAACCAGGGTTCTTCAACCAAACTGCTTAGGAGGCCACAGCTAATAAACTTTTATTATTTTAAATGAACCCATCGGTGGGCCGGACTGAGCTCACTCTCTAGCCAGATGTGGCCCTCGAACCGTCAGTTGAATAGCCCAGAATACACTATCGTAGCTACCTGAGTTTTACCTAATTTACCTTCTCAAAGTGTTTGTTTTATTATAGAACAGACATTAAAGCTACATATCTGTCTTATCGAAGTAGTGACACCTTTATGTGTGTCTGTGCACGCCTGTAGTTATGGTGTGCAGCAGGAGTGGACCTGACCGGATGGAGGGCCAGCAGCCAGGAGGTGGCACCCACCAAAGCAGCGTCAGGCGTCAGCGACCCCCTGCAGGCTGAGGAGGACAAAAAGACCAGCCACACGTCCCCCGAGAAGAAAAAGGTAGACCCTCGAAGGACAATGAATCTCTGTAGAACTTTAACATAACGGTATGTTTAAAGGAGACATGTCATGCATTTAAATCCTTCTTTTCCACATTGAAATCATTATTAGGGGTCTATATAAAGTGGAACTGCAATGCTTTGGTCTGAATTCCTCCTTATTGTAACTCCACAAGCTCCTCTTTCTCCTCTTTTCTGAGGTGTGTGTCAGATCAACTGGTTTTAAGGCTGCCTCTTTAAACCCAAACGAGGCGCTTCAGTGTATTCTGTATAATRTTTGAACAGGATTGATGCATGTCTCGGTCGGTGGATAATTTGACCCAGATTGCAGACGAACTTGACAAAAACCTTGCCGTAGCAGCAAAAACTCACACAGAGAATCACTCATCAGTTATGACATCATCCTTTCATCATGCCGATGTTCTCCCTCAGACAAAGGAGCTGCAGGAAACGGACAGCATGAACAGTCGCGTGTGGATCCTCACCAGCACCCACTCCGCCAGCAAGGTGGTCATCATCGAYGCCAACCAGCCGGGTTCGCTCGTCGACCAGTTCAACGTCTGCAACGCCCACGTGCTCTGCATCTCCAGCGTGCCGGGTCAGATGGAGACCACTGGTCCGACGGTTAGGGGTTTCTTATGAATCGGTGTGTTAAATATATGTGTGCTTGCTTCCAGCTGCCAGTGAGAGCGATTACCCAGCAGGAGAAATCGTGTTGGATCCGAGCGACGGCGGTTCTGGAGGCGGGGAGGACACCGGTGGGGTAGAGGGCATGTTGGCGGGCATCACGCTCGTCGGCTGCGCCACGAACTGCAGCGTGGCCCGGAGCAACTGCTCCTCCCGCACCGACACGCCCGTCGTAGACAGRGGACAAGGTGGGATCATCTTAGATTCCTCTGCACCTTTCTGACGCAGGAACCACGCCTGAATTTATTTGCCCCGTGTTGTGCTTCAGCTCCCACGGCTCCCCCYTCCAGTGGGAAAATGCACCCCGCCCAGTCGGCAGAGGAAGCAACAGAGGCAACAGAAGTTCCAGAAACAACGCCAAACCACACGGAAATGAGATCCGGACCGCCGGGRCCCTTTACGGAGCACGTCTTCACCGATCCTCAGCCTCGTCCGGCAGACTCCTTTGACAGGTGGGGTGGAGGGTTAAAGTCTGTCTGAGTACAAACAGAACCGACTTTGGTAGATAGAACTAGTGTAGACGAGGGTTAGTGGTTCTGAACAGGTCTGTCCACACAGGAGCACGGGTCAGTCCAAACAAGAAGCCTCTCAGCCCACGGAGTYAGAAGATGGAGGCGAGGAGACCAGAAACTACACCAGCGTGGCCCCCACCATGTGGCTCGGGGCCCAGAATGGCTGGTGAGTCACACTGCAGTGACACCTTGGTTCTTCAGAACCTTTTTTACATTTATCTGCTGACTTACTAAATAAATCCATCTGAAGGTGATAAAAATGAATATAACCATTACCAAATTTCCCTCTGGGATCAATAAAGTATTTTTGAATTGAATTGAATTGAATTTGAACAGGGTTCCTACAGTTTAAGGCAAGTTAACTTTAAGACCTTTGAAGACTTTTTAATGCCAAGTGAAGTTAAATTTAAAACCAATTTCATAATAAACACAAATGACAAAAAAATAAAAAACTGGCAGAAACTCATAAACCAAAAGTTTTTTGTTTAAGTATTAAAATATTGCTAAAAGACAAATTGTTTTTATCCATATCTAGCTATAGCAGAAACATTC